TGAAACAGGAAATAAAAGAAAAACAGAAAAGTCAATAAAGGGTGAGGAGAAGCAGTACAATGGACTCCAGGGAGAAACGTTAACAAAGAAGGGAAAAAGACAATCAAAATGACTGAAATGTTTTTGGAAAAGAAGGTCAATTGTTTCAAGACATACTGTATGACAGTAGGTCTGACTTGATCGAATTTCAAAATAGTGATGCACAAACTAGTTGTGCACTTAGTTCTGAAGCCTACCTCTATGATTTTATTTTGTTCAGTGTAGGCCCCTATTTGATGTTTCTACAGTCTGTCTCTATCCTAAATATTACCTTTATGTTACCTTAGTGTGAATGAGTCACATGACTGCTATACAAGTGTTAGTAAATGCACAAAAATGTCACAATGATAATGTTACCTTGGATATTACACAAAAGTACAAGTTCAAATGTTACAATGAAGTTACAATATTGATATTGCAATACACATTGCACTAATGTAACAATGTTACAGTGTATGTTACAATAAAGTAATAATGTTGAAATACATTGATGACTTGTTTTTTTGTCTTTGCTGTCAGTATTCAAACTGGTGTTGTATAAGCGTTTTTGATATGTAAAATAGTCACATTAGGATGTGATATTGCATTCTAGTGGCAATGCTGGGAACTGCCAGTGACAGAGTTTTAAATGTGTTAATAACCAGACTGAGATATATAAGATTTTTGATGACTGCATAGAATAAATATATATTAATTCAGTATACAACACATTTTACCACCAGTAACAATTGCGTGAAAATTAGAAAAAAAATGTGATTGGTTATTTCTTAGGTTTACTATTGGATATTTTCATGTAAGGGAAAAAATCGGGATTAAATGGGTTAAGACCCAGAAATATGAAATAGACCTATTGTCCTTGTTGGAGAGTGTGCTGGACCTGAGAGAGAGTTCACTCCGCCTAAGGAAAGTTATGCTTTTGTATCTGGTAAGTGATTTCACAAAGGAAATCATTTGCAGCATTTTCTAGTGGCCTCAGAGCTCAAATGATTGGGCACATTCAAAATAAATGCTTCTGCAACACCATTTGATTTAATGAAACTAGCTGAAGGTCAAATGGAAAGTAACTGATTTTGTCACTAAGATAATGGAATCCATCAGAAGCAGAATATGCACGTAACTGATAATTAATAGTACAACCCCATTTCCAAAAGAGTTGTGACGCTGTGTAAAATGTAAAAAAAAACAAAATGCAATGGTGTGCAAATCATTTAAATCCTACATTTAATTGAAAATAGTACAAAGACAACATATCAAATGTTGAAATTGAGAAATTTGATTGGTTTTTGAAAAATATATGCCCATTTAGAATTTGATGCCAACAACACGTTCCAAAAAAGTTGGGACGGGGGCAACAAAAGGCTGGTAAAGTTGTGTAATGCTTAAAAATAACACCTGGTGGTTGATTGGCAACAGGTCAGTAACATGATTGGGTATTTAAAAGAATCCCAGAGAGGCTGAGTCTTTCAGCAGTAAAGATGGGGAGGGGTTCACCATTCGGTGAAAGACTGAGCATATATAAACAGGATCCAGAAATGCTGCCGCATTCTCTGGGCCTGGGCTCATTTAAAATGGACTGAGGTGGAAAAAGTGGAAAAGTGTCCTGCGGTCCAACAAATCAACATTTTAAATTCTTTTTGGAAATCATGGACACTGTGTCCTCCGGGCTAAAGACCACTTAGCTTGTTATCAGTGCACAGTTCAAAAGCCAGTATTCTTGATGCTATAGGGGTGCATTAGTGCACATGGCACGGGTGTCTTGCACATCTGTGAAGGTGCCATTAATGCTGAACGAAATATACAGGTTTTGGCAACAAATGCTGCCAAAACCTGCGTCTTTTTCAGGGAAGGCCTTGATTATTTTAGCAAGACAATGCCAAACCACATTCTGCATGTATTACACCAGCATAGCTCCGTATTAAAAGAGTCGAGGTGCTAAACTGACCTGCCTGCAGTCCAGACCTGTCACTCACTGATTTGACGCATTATGAGATGAAAAATACAAAATAGGAGATTCAGAACTGTTGAGAAATCCACTTTCAAAACTACAGCAGTTGGTTTCCTCAGCTCCCAAACACTTTCAGTGTTGTTAAAAGAAGAGGTGGTAAAACACAGTGGTAAACATGCCCCCCTCCCAACTTTTTTTGGAACATGTTGTCGGCATCAAATTCAAAACAGGCAAATATTTTTCAAAAAATAATAAAATTTCTCAGTTTCAACATTTGATATGTTGTCTTTGTAGTATTTTCCTTTAAAAATATGGTTCACTTGATTTGCACATCGTTGCATCCTATTTTTATTTACATTCTGCACAGCGTCCCAACTTCTTTGTAAATGGGGTTGTATTTTAACCAGGGGCGAATAAAATAACTGGGAGGGCTGAGGTCAGGTTTTTAGCTCCTCCCTATCACTCCCCCTCCCGGGACACAACTGTATTGGATGTGAGCGTTTTTTTTTTGTTTTTTTTTACAACGCTTTATGTTCAAATTATACATATATACACACTACATGGCCAAAATGATGCTGACATCAGTTCAGGTGTTTCTGCCACTGAAAGGTCTATAAAAACACATAATAATGCATTCTTCTCTATAGACAAATATTGGCAATGGAATGAGTAATACTGAAGAGACCAGAGACTTTAAATGTGGCACTGTCATAAGATGTCCTTTACCACAAATGCACACCAGCCTAAAATGACTATGCGCAATGCCAAGCATCAGCTGGAGTGGTGAAAAGCACCTGAACTTGTACCGAACACCTTTGTGATTAACTGGAATGTTGACTGTAAGCCAGGCTTTTTTGTCCAACAACAGTGCCTGATCCACAAATTCTCTTCTAACTGAATGAGCAAAAACTTCCCACAGACAAACACTCCAAAATCTTGTTGAAAACATTACCAGAACAGTAAAGGCAGTTATAGCTTTGACTACAAATTAATTCACATTGTTTTGGAATAGGATGACCAAAAAGCTCAAGATAGTCAGGTGTCTACATACATACTACTATATACATAATGCAGGAAAATACTGCCTTAAAAGTAATGCTGTATTACTTAAAAGGTGCATGAAATTCAAGCTGATTAAAGAGAACTGTTGCCATATATCCAGTCTCTGAAAGTGTTTCTCCTTATCTCATCTTATCCCACTTTTACAATATCAACTGACCTTAGCTATTGTAATACATACATTACATAAAGTTCTCCTCACAAATATTGGCATCCCTGGTAATCATGAGCAAACCAACCTGTAAAAATGGTTTATATATGCAGAAAAGTACCCCATTGCCACTGTGAAGAATGAAGAATGGCGGTGGATCTGTGATGTTGTGGGACAGGCCCTGGACAATTCATTCAAATACATGGTATCACAGGTATCAGCAGAAAAAAAAATCAAAACCTGACTGCTTCAGCCAACTGGGCCATAGTTTGCACCTTTCAGCAGGACAATGATCCAAAGCACACCTCAAAATCAACACAAAATGGTTCACTGACCACAGAATTGAGGTTTTGCTATGGCCAAGCTAGTCCCCTGACCTAAACTCTACAGAAAACCTGCAGAACGAGCTGAAGAGGAGAGTCCACAGTGTGGACCTCAGAATCTGAAGGATCTGGAGAGGTTCCGTATGGAGGAATGGTCTCAGATAACTTGTCATGTGTTCTCCAGTCTCATTAAGCATTACAGCTGAAGAGTCAGAGCTGCTATATTTGCAAAGGGAGGCTGCACAAAATATTAAGTGAGGGGGCGCCAATAATTGTGGCACACAAATATTGAACAAAAATATTTATTTCCAGATAAGATTTAGGTTTTCTTTTTTTAGTCACTGAACTTCAAAAGAAGGTTAGATGTTTGATAATATTTTGAAAGAAATGATAAGCAATAAAAATGATGTTAACAGCCTGTTTTTCCTCATGTTTACCAGGGGTGCCAATATTTGTGGAGGGCACTGTATGAATATAGAAATCTATACATAGAAGTGCCAGAGACAACTGAGCAGTGTGCATCAGTGACTGTGGCTACTGTTGTATCTTGCCTATTTGGTACCATAAGCAAAAATTAATTTGTTGCCTCCAAACAAACTGATTCTGGAAATCATGTTTACATCTGTCCAACCAGTGACACCATTTTGTAATTGCACATTATGAGATGCATGAGGCAGGCAGAGGCTCTGAGTGATGAGGGGTGCCCCTTCAGAAGAGCTAACAGTGGAACTATTAGTGTTATATGCTGAGGACTTGACTCAACAGCTAATTGTCAGCAGATTTGAAAAAACAACTTAGTTACCTTTCTGATCTTTACACTGAATGTATTTATGGTAGGACATCAATAAATTAAATATAAGATAAATTTACCTTAAAGCCACTTACTAAAAGTTTTTCACATTGTATGTGATTGTTTTCTGTATGGTAGTTTTATTCAAAACTTTTTGGCTTCAAATTTGTAACAAAAAACCATCACTATTCAGAGGATCAGGACTGCATGTATTTGAATGACGTGTTCCACAGTAATACCAGTGGGAGAACCAGTTTCCCCATCTGTGTTATGCACTATTTCCGGTTGGTGGACCCTTGGGAGGTCCACCAAGTGTGACTGTCCTCCTGCTGCTACCTGTACTTGGATTATTTAACTGGGATGATCTGCTTTCCAATTCTATTCAATATTGTGAGTTCACTGAAACTTTGACTGAAGCATTTCCAAGTAACCTTCTTTCACTGGCCTGTACTGTGTGTAGCGGCTACAGTTACACCTTGTGATTTGCTGTTTCTGTATTGGTCATTACTCTCACAGTTGCAAACAATACTGCAATGCTTTTCTGTAATAATATATATATATATATAAAACAAGTGTGTTATAAGTAAGAATGATTCATAACTATAGTAACAGTTTAATAGGTAGAAAATGTGAATTTAATCATTGAAAATCTTTCTATAGTCAGTTTATTTCTAATATGTGAATATAGTTTACCTGAGCAGATGACTCCAGCATCTTTAGAATGATCACAGTCATGTTTACTTGATTCTAATGATGAACAATTTTTCAGTGTAGACTCTGATCCACTACAGTGAACATTATCCATCCAGATGGGTCCTGATCCTGGTCCAAAGTGAGCATCACTCAGTGCATCTACAGCCTCTCCACAGCGCAGCTCTCTACACACCACTGCAGCATCTCTCATATCCCAACCACGACTACACACTGTTCCCCACTGTCCTCTATGAAGAACCTCCACTCTTCCAGCACAGCGACTGCCACCATCCACCAACCTCACACTGTCTGTACAACAGAGAGAGAGAGAGAGAGAGAGAGAGAACACCATACAAAACCTGAAAGACAGCTCTATAATGCTACAGTATCACCTTTAAATAATGCAAAGAAAAATTGCTTGCAAATAAAAGAAAGAAATAAAGTATAATTTATAGATAAATTGTGAATGCATTTCTTACCAGCACACACCAGTCCCACATCACTGTCATGCAAGCAGTTGTGTTTGAGTGAAGATGATGTTGGACAGAGGTAAATCTGAGATTCGTTGCCTCTACACTGTAGCTCCTCTGACCACACCTGACCCTCCCCTCTGCCAAAAGCAGCTGGTCTCAGCACCTCCACAGGAAGCCCACAGCCCAGCTCTCGACACACAACCTCTGCATCCTGCTGGTCAAAGTCAGCATCACACACTGTGGACCAGGTCTCTCCATGAAGAACCTCCACTCTCCCAGAGCAGCGAGAACCACCAACCAGCCTGACTCCTACAATATTACCAAGGGAGAAAAGAGGACATTTTACAGTGATGATCAATGACAACTAATATAAAATTAATGACAAAGTATTTAGTGGATTTTTTTTACCCTAAATATATTGGGAAATGAACTTTAACAAAAACAGCAAATACTGGGACATACAGACAGATGACAAATGAAAGGAAAACCCATAACAAGCGCAGATGCTTCCAGACTGGTGTATTGTATGATGCAATAATGTTATGTCCCATATTGACTCTACAGCAGCACCACCTGGGGCAAAGGGAGGTCTTGCCCAAGGGCACAACCAGATATACCTAATCAGTCCTGGTAATTAAACATGTGCCTTTGGTTGCTGGTTCACATTTTTTACTACTAGGCTATCAGACACCCCAGTAGTTCAAATCCTACCATGCTCTGTAACATATTAAAATGCTTAGCAGATGCAGTTGATCTCAGTGAATTTGAAAGAGGCATGGATGGCAGGAGCTTAACTCACAAAGACTGACTAGTGTTTCAAAAGGTACAGTAACTAAAGTGATATCTGCTTTTAGATCTCTGATAAAGACATTAAACTGGGCTGGAAACTGTAGTAAAAAGCAGCCATTCAATGACTGTTACTTTAGAATCAGAATCAAAATCTTTATTTGCTTTGTACCAGGTATACAAGGAATATCTCTTGGTGCAGTTGTCAACATAAAATTAAATCCCATAAAGAGATGTAATCTGTACAAACCCAGTTCTAAAAAAGCTGGGACAGTAAGCAAAATGTAAATGAAAACTGAAAGCAGATCTGTATATTGATCTGTATATTCAATTGAAAACAGCACAAAGACGAGAAATTTAATCTTTCACCTGTTTAATTTTCTTTTTCTTCTTAGGTTGATCATTTGACTAGTCTGAGTGCTAATTTGAAGGTGACTTAAAGCAAACGTTATATAAATTGTGTTTGAAGAAATTCTTCATTAAACATAATTTAATCAACAAAGTAATGCTCCGTTACAAATGTGCCTCTTATCAGTCCTCCAAGCTGAAGCTGACTTGCTTTAGAAAGAGAAAAATTACTTGCTGAACCAGGTAGAAAGGATTGTACCCCATCCTTTCAGAGGAGCAGTCTTCCTCTTCAGAGTCTTCTTCCAGTGACAGTGAAGACAGCTCTGATTAAGCTGACTGTTATCAAACCAGCTCCAGTAATAGTCAAAGAATCAAAGTCAAAGACAGATGGGAAAGCTTAAAATTAAGCATGATCTAAGCCCAGAGCAGATAGATAGCCTAGCTTTAAAAGAGTCTAAAAATCCAAAGAGATGAGCAACAGTCAAGTTGTTGCTGCTCAAACAACAGAGATCTTCTCCTGTGCTCAGTAAGAGCCTCTACACTCCAAGTGCTGACCTCTTGTTCATCACCCCCCACACACACAAACACACTCTCCACAGTGTTGTTTGTCACATTGTTTTGGGAAGACTTCTTCAGAGAGTCTCCAGAGAGTCTAGCATACCAGACCATCAAAGGATTAAAGACTGACACCACATCGATCTTTATGACCATTTATGTTCCATAATACACTATAAACACCTAAGCTGTAAACTGCACACGTTTACATATTGATTATAATTTATTTATTATAGTATTATAATTATAGTTGGTGATTTAAATTCTGCCTTCTGACCTACATTTACTGCTAATGCCCATATCTGTACACACTGTGTATGCACCTATTGTCTTTGTGCTTTTGTCTATTGTCTTTGCACTACTGTCTTAGTCTATTTTGTTAATCACTGCACAGAGAAGTAGTCATTCAGTGTTTTGTAATACTGAATTAAGGAGAGACTGTGTCACTGACAAAACTTGTTCAACTTGACGTGGTTAAACAAAGAAATTAAATATTCACTAACATGATGCACGAGAACCTCTGTATCCCTGCCCTGTCTCCACCCAAAAGAGTGGCTTCAGGTAGATTTCAACTTAGAATCCAGAGTTTTACTTGGTTCAGAAGGAAGAGTACAAAAAGAAGTTTGGAAAAAGTCAAAAGAACTTCAGAGAAAGTCAAGAAGTTAAGAACAAAGAGACTGAGCGTTTCTTTTCCAGATCTGTGAAGCTGAAGTTGCCTGTTTTTGTTGAAAGTACTCATCGTATTTCTTTCTATACTCTATCACAAGTTGATAGAGTTAAGAATTTTTATTGTTTGGCCAGAGGTAATTCAGGTGCAGAACCTTCTGTCTGGACAGTGAGAGAGAGGGAGTGGAAACAAACTGGTGTCCACTCTTCAGAGAAGTTTGCCTGTGGAGCAGAGTGAGTCTAAAACGGTCCTCTCAGAATCTGCTGAAACCATGTCTACTGCAGCTTCTTTCAGAGGCAGCTAAAAGGAGAGTGTCCTTCCGCCCTTTTGACCACCACAGTTGTGTCATGTTATCTCACATTTTTTATAGTCCATATTTCACTGTGCAAAGGGTAGAAGTAACTGCCTGAAGTACCAAACGAGCAGATACTCCAAGTCCACACCAAGGACAGTGTTTCCAACTGACCACTCACTGAGAAAGTAAGGCAAAGCACTTCTCACATATGCTCAGTTTGGTGCCTGGTTAGTTCTCTGCAGGGTTTTTGTTCCTCTTAGTAAATTCAGATCAGGTGACTCCCTCATATCTGTGCCCCATTTGGTTATCAGATCCATTAATTCATCATACTCAATTATTTTACAGTGTTTTTCTGGTTAATTTTATGTATCTGATCCATCAAGCCATCAATTTAGAACCAAGAACTGAGACTGAACTAAACTTTGTTTTTTCTTTGACCCCTTTTTAACGAGTGTAAAAATAGGTTAAATTACTCCTATCGTGACACATGGTTGAAGATTTTGGCATTTTATTAATTAAAACAACTGTTGGTCATTGATTATATGTCTCAGCTGCACATGCATGTATGCGTAAGGTGAAATAAAGTGATTCTGATTGTGATTCACAGACACTATTTTGCACTTTTGTGCTGTTGAGTGTGTGTAGAGTATGTTATCTAAGAACAAATCCCAAATTAGAAAGCCTTGATGAAAGTCAGAATCTTCATGAAAACTGCATAAGTGAGTTTGAAGAACAGTTGGTGAATGAGTCCCAGTGTTCTAAAACTGTTAACACTTTTTTTGGGCGAAGGGGTGGGCCTTGACCCATCCTCTGTCATAAAGAACTCTGCTTTTCATGGATGGTCCTTTTATACCCAAACATGATTGCACCACCTGCTGAAGATGTTTTTTTAGCCTAATTTACAGTGTTTTAGACACTCAAACATTAAATAATTTCTATACTGTTTTCATTTAATTACAGGTCAAAGTAAATTTAAGAATCACTGCTTTCTTCACTGTTTTTATCTACATTTTACCTACAGCCCCAACTCTTTTTGGTGTTGTATATATACAACAATACCTTTGTTGTAAGATGCCTTGTTTCTACATTCACTGTCTATTTTATAGGGTCCACTTACCAATTAGGTGGACTTTATAGTTCTACAATTACAAACTGTCCATCTGTTTCTCTTCATACTTTGTTAGCCCCCTTTTACCCTGTTCTTCAAGAGTCAGACCTCAAAATGAATGGTGCCCTTTTTGGTGCCCTAAATGATTAATATGCCACTGTGCAAAACCTTTATAATACTTATAATTGTCGCAGGAGAGCAGGCACAGTTTGGTTGGGTAAGTAGTAATTGAGCCAGAAAATAAAACCAGGACGTTTTCTTTTTCTAAATAATAATAATAATGATAATAATAATGATAATAATAATAATAATAATAATAATAATAATACATTTTACTGGTGACCTAAATATGATCATAAATTGTAAATAATCTTGAATATTATATTGGGATTATGTTTATTTGGACATAGGTTTGTTACTTGGTTGTTACAACAAGAAAAATGCTCTTGAATTTGCATAATTAAAATTGGATCTGCATACAGGACTTTATACAGTATTTTCATATACTGAAAAAAATCCTGATATGCACTATTCCAAAAGTGCCCCCTAACAAAATGCCCGTTTGAAACACCTCAGCCCCTGCCCTCACCAAAGTCTGCGCGTGCCACTAAGTGAGGGGATCTGGTGACTCTGTTATGCTGTGGGGGGCATTTTGCTGGGATGATTTGAGTCCACATGTCCCCACAGAGAGATGGGTCACTGCAAGTCAATACTAAGCTAATCACCTTTATCCTATGAAGAAACATTTTAATCCTGATGGCAGTGGTCTCCACCAGGATGACAATGCTCCCATCCACAAGGCATGAGGGGTCACTAAATGGTTTGATGGCATAGTCACCTAAATCTGAACACCTATGGGAGATTTCAGACTGTGTTAAACAGACTCCCCTCCATCATCAAAACACAAATTGAGGTACATATCTTTTGAAAGGATGGTGGTCCATCTCTCCAGTACAGTTTCAGAGATGTATAATATATTACTTTGGTGTTTCCTTTACACCTTACAAGTTTGTAAGTATATTTACGTATAAGATTTCAAAATAATTTATAAATTCAAAGATGCGCAAAAGGGGTAAATTAATGTTCATTATAACTGTGTGACTGACTGGTTTTTGTGTTAAGTAATTGCGGTTTAGAGTAACTTACCTGAGCAGAAAACTCCAGCATCATTAGAGTGATTACACGCATGTTTAGCCCAAAGTGTTGAGTGGCAGTTCTTCAGTGTAGACTCTGACCCACTACAGTCCACATCAACCATCCAAATTTTTCCTGATCCCAGTCCAAAGTAAGCGTAACTCAGTGCTTCTACAGCCTCTCCACAGCCCAGCTCTCTACACACCACTGCAGCATCTCTTATATCCCAGCCATCATCACACACTGTTCCCCACTGTCCTCTATGAAGAACCTCCACTCTCCCAGCACAGCGACTGCCACCATCCACCAGCCGCATGCTGCCTATACACAAGAGACAAATGGGAAAGAGGCAGAGAGGTGCAGAAAGATGCTATATTCATGCACAACCAGAGAGCTGCGGACAGAAAATTAATATCCTAAATTAATTTCAAACATGGGGTCAGTCAGAGGAATACAAGAGCAACTATGAAAAATATATTTCTTACCAGCACACACCAGCCCCACATCATTATCATGAGAGCAGTTGTGTTTGAGTAAAGGTGATGTTGGACAAAAGTAAATCTGAGATTCATTTCCTCTACATTGAAGCTCCTCTGACCACACCTGACCCTCCCCTCTGCCAAAAGCAGCTGCTCCCAGCACCTCCACAGGAAGCCCACAGCCCAGCTCTCGACACACAACCTCTGCATCCTGCTGGTCAAAGTTAGCATCACACACTGTGGACCAGGTCTCTCCATGAAGCACCTCCACTCTCCCAGAGCAGCGAGAACCACCAACCAGCCTGACTCCTGAAATATTATGAGAGAACAGAGTCAGATTATTCATAGTTTCAAGATGGAGAAAGTGCGAAAGGACACAGCGATTCAAGGATATAAAGAGTTCAATGGGAAAAAAGCATGAATGTCTCATTTTAACAAAAAAGTAATTTCCCATTAGCAGCACCGAAGCAAAAATTTTAAAGGATATTTAGAGCATCATCTGACATATCATGTAATGTGAAATGGGATGATGTTGTAGGGATGTGTAATTTATTTTTCCCTTAAGTGTGTGTGTAATATACAAAACATGCCATCTTTTGTCTTAATTTAAAGGTAAAATCATGCCAGAGACATTGGAATGATCTTCAAAGTTGTGGGACACACCACTTGCATGATATGGCCTTACAATTTTTTTCCAGTATCACAAAGAAACCTTAAGGGTCACAGTAAAGACTGGAGGATGACCCCAGACTCTCCCACGTGGAAGAAGTGTGACAAGGAGTGTCCCACACCTAATCCTCTTAATAGTGACAGCACCTCAAGCTTTCTTTGAAGTTGCGAATTGAAGGTCTTTCTGACTTCTAGTCATTGGAGTCAGAACGCTCGCTTCTGACCTTTCAGCTGACCCCAATTTGAACTTAGTGCAGTTCTTACCCATCAGAAGATGAGGCAACGTATGCAAACTTCTGGACTGGCAGCTCTTTCTGCCTTTTTTGATTCACAAAGTGGAGCCTTTTTAAAGCAAGATACCAGCTGGGGCAAAGTCTCTGAACACAAGGACACACTTTTGAGTGTTAATATAAGCTTCTTTCAGCTTCTCTTGCAATGTTGGAATGGTGGCAAGTCTCGAGATGCTGTAAACTCTCAAGAATCTAATTTGGTGTAAATTCCAGATAGACAGGTTTTATCATTGTTGTTTGTGATCTTATATGTGGTGAGAATTATTCCTGTTCTTGGTTTTCATTTGATATCTTTCCTTTAAGCCTTTTTATATTATTATTAAACTTTGTAAATGTTTTTGTTTATATTTTGTATCACAGAAGTTCAGACAGCTGAGACAGACAGCTGAGACAGACTTCCACCGAATGTAAGTAATCAAATTTTCTTTAGATACCAAGAAAATTATATATATATATTATATATATATATATATATATGCAATACTCTTTTGCCCTGTTGGATTTGTTTCCCTTTCATCACAAATTATTTTTACCTTAGTCAATAGCAATAATTTAGCCACAACTCCCACACCATTAAAAATATAAGAAAATATAGCAGCATACCTGAACAGATGACTCCAGCATCTTTAGAATGATCACAGTTATGTTTACCCCATCCTGGTGATTTACAGTTCTTCAGTGTTGACTCTGATCCTCTACAGTCCACATCATCCATCCAGATTGGTCCTGATCCTGGACCAAAGTGAGCATCACTCAGTGCATCTACAGCCTCTCCACAGCGCAGCTCTCTACACACCACTGCAGCATCTCTCATATCCCAGTAATCATCACACACTGTTCCCCACTGTCCTCTATGAAGAACCTCCACTCTCCCAGCACAGCGACTGTCTCCATCCACCAGCCGCACACCAGCTATACAACAGAAAGAAAAAACATTTTCTCCCTGTTATGTTGTCATCTGTAAATGACTCTAGTGTTTTACATTAAGGGCTGACTACACCCATGGTAAGCGTTTTGAACTCAAGCTGTCAATGACAAACCAGTGTCAGCTGGGCAGATAAGGGTGAGATAAAAGGGAGAAAGAGAACTTTTTACATCAGTCCTCACGTCCCACGGCAATGCCAATGTGGTTGAACATTAGCGTGGTCCAGTGGCCGCCCCATTAAACATTAGCCCTGAAAGCTAGTGTTAGCTTAGTGAGAAAGTCTAAACAATTTGACACACAACCACACAGGTTCATTCTGGCTCACTCAGGTATCAATGACATAAATTTAGAGAATAAATATTCAAATCTGAACATTTAAATCTGTATTTCATTTTGGAGCTGTTAGCTTAAACTACTTTTGTCGTTTAATGATCGCTTTGCAAGAATGCTAAACAACCAGACAACCAAGAGTGGGTTTCCATGGCATCGCTTGAAAAAAACATACAATCCAGCCCTGAACATTCGAAACAGTATAACACCTAAACATAGGGAGCAGGAAAATTCCAGGAGCAATTTTGGCAACCATTGAATCATACAGGTATCTGACAGCCTGCCACTTTTATCAAGAGATTCAGTTGTTATCTCAAATAATATTTAAACCATTACTGAATGTTAACATGAGACTTTAGTAGTTAACGGCTAAGAGGTTTAATTCTAATATTTGTCCTATTTTTTGCAAATGATTTAGCACCATTGATTAAAATATTATTATAGACGTAAATAAATTGTTCATTAGTGCTTAGTTCTTACTGTTCCAATTTACCCACTTCTAAAGAAATCAAAGGGAAAAGCTACACCATAATAACTTACTTTATCTGTTTGTTTAATGATTTGTTGTTAAGACCATTATATCTTAGTATTTTGCCATTTTGGGCTTGGCCTATGTTTTTTGCACAAGAGTGTAAAATGTTACCAATACATGTACAGTAGAGAATAATACAGAACATTTTTGAAGAATATGTGTTAAAAGGGCCAATATAGTTTATGACTGTTAAATTATTGATGTTACTATTGCTTTGAAACAAGAAATGTTTTTTATTTTTATTGACAACGCTTCTCCACCTGCACCCGAAGACAGCTCCAGTCGGCTCCTTGTGCAGCCTTCTCTGACTTGCTGGCCTCTGAGGCCTCTGACCTGCCAGACTCTGAGTTCCCTGACTTGCTGGACTCTGTTTCTGGCCCCACAGTGCCACCCAGTGCTTCAGAGAGCACCTGCAAAGTAGCTATTGGTCCCATTGCTCCGGAGCACTGAGAGGTGCTCTCAGACCCAGTGCTGCATTGCTCCACCATCCTGTCTTGCCATGTTCTTGTCTTTGTCTGTTTTCCCTTCTTGTTAACCTTCATGCTTTTGCCATGTGCCTTTGTATGTTTCAGGGTTCATGCTCCCTACTTAACTCTGTCCTGTCGTCGCACCGCTCACCTGTTTCTTCTGTGTAACCCAGTAATCACTATCATGTGTTTCTTGTTGGTATTTGCCAGTATGTATAACCCTTGTTTTTGTCTTGTGTTTGCTTGGCATTGTTTGTTGTTTTCATGTTGTAGCTTAGTTGCCCTTTTGTTTATTCTTGTGTTTATTAGCAAATTATCTTGTTCTTTTTTTTTTGTTTTATTATTTTTCAGTTTCCTTACTTTGGTTCTTTAGTTTTGTTTCACTCTTTGTTGTTTTCTTAGATTCTCTTTTCCCTGCATTTTTCTTCTGTTATTTTCAATAGATTATGATAAACACACATATGCATCCTGCTTCATTTCCTGCTTGTCAGGCATCATATTTGAAGAAGATCTTATCTGCTTTTATAGATCTCTGTCTCATTTTCATGTCAAACCATTTCTAGTCTTTACATTTTTCAAATATTGTTCTATTAGGCCTCTGTCAATTTATATGTTAACGACTCTGACAAATTGATTAAATAGTTATTATGAATAATAATAATAATAATAATAATAATGATAATAATAATAATAATAATAATATAGTTGAATGGATCACCTGAAAAGTTGCCAAATTCAGTGATTCAGTTGAAATTTAGAAAGGATGAATGAGGTCACAAGCATGCTTGGTTAAGAACAGATTTTCCCCTTTAGAAGAGAAAATAAGAATTAAATTTAAAATTTCCTCAAAATTCTCTTCAGAACATTTTCATAAATCAAAACCTGATTTAAAAAATCTTTTTGAGTGGAAAGATATTAAATACCTCAGGGAGTAAAATGTTAGATTTAACCACACAGGGAAAATGAAATTAAGATGTTTATTAAGGTAAATTCAGTGCTTACCAGCACAAACCACACCCACATCATTCTCATGGGTGCAGTTGTGTTTGAGTGAAGATGATGTTGGACAGAAGCGAATCTGAGATTCGTTTCCTCTACACTGAAGCTCATCTGACCACATCTGACCCTCCCCTCTGCCAAAAGCAGCTGCTCCCAGCACCTCCACAGGAAGCCCACAGCCCAGCTCTCGACACACAACCTCTGCATCCTGCTGGTCAAAGTCAGCATCACACACTGTGGACCAGGTCTCTCCATGAAGCACCTCCACTCTCCCAGAGCAGCGAGAACCATCAACTAGCCTGACTTCTAAAATTAGAAAAACAGAGAACATGGAAGGCACTATTAGTACTGATATTAATGTGTTAATTTACATATTATTAAAATAGTTATTTTAATAATATAATTATATTACAATAGAAATGACAAAAGTATTGGTTTTACTGCCATTACAAATGGTATACCAGAAATATATATTAATTTAATATATATATATATAATAAACACGAAAATAACTTGGCAGCCCCCTCCCCCACATCTAATATACTTGGTTGCTCCCAGAGTAGGAAAGAGAAGTTTAAGCATTCATCATCTTCACCGTGAAGTTCCACCAGCTGGCATATCATACTAAGCTAAATAGTTTCTGCAAGTAATGGTATGACATATATAATGGTTTAGCACAGACTCAGATATGGGTTTGAAAAAAAAATAAAAGACTTTTTA